CTAGGTTGATTGAAATAGTTTATGTTTACACCAACGTTTTGATTCCAGAACATCCCTCAGCAGAATAATTTCAGCGACTGCGGTGTATTCCTTTGCTCGTATGCTGCGTGCTTAACCAGGAATGTGCCATTTGATTTTACAATAAATGATATACCACAGATACGAGCCAGGATATTACAGGAAATACTTTCCTCGCAACTGTCATCTCGACTATTGCCATTAGATTCCAGGAAAGCAGGCAGTCAACGACCAATACCACCAAAGCCCATTAGTTCATTGGTATGTATTGAAACGTGTAATATCCACCTATTGAAAATAGAACCCATAGAAACATCATAGAAACACCTGGCGCTTTCGGTTGGGAGTTCTATTAAATTTCGATAACAATTCCATTAGGATTATATTAATATTCTACTATTTTTGCGGATTTGCAGCGAAAACTTCAACCCGCTTTCCCGGCGAATAGGTGACAGACATTTGATGAAAAAGGATAAATGGAATATGATTCTTTAATATGGCTTATTATCTTGACATTTATTCCATTGAAATTCTTGGGTATAAAGTTTCAGAGTCTTTTCCGTTGTATTTTTTTTTCATTACAAAAATCATAATAATAAAATGAGTAAATTCATGCTGAAGATTTATATAAAAGAATGATAATTTATTGGCTTATTTGTTGAAAATAGTTATTCAAAATTAGCACGAGAAATTTCGAAAAACTGTCAATGGTGTTGCAATATAATTGTAATAAAATTTCAATAGAAAACTTGGGAAATTTTAAATTGATTCATGTCAATTTGTTGATTATTCGAGAAGCAGAAGAAGACAGCTGTATCGCGAGCCAAAGTGGCGGAACCCACCAAAGATTCAGTGACAGATTTAAGAGATGTTTTCCTTCACGTTGCTGCTTCTTTCCATCAGGGCGATCGCCGGTTTCCTAAAGGGAGAGCTAATGCCCAATGTACGGCAATATCAACATTTTGGATTGCAGTAATGGCACAATCGACAGAATCAGTCTCGCAAAATCTTCTGGACACAATCCTGATCGATGGTGACCGTTATTACGTGGAATGCAAATCACGGAATGATCTACAAGTGGATCAACTCCATGTAGAAGATCTTTGCACCCGATTCACCGTTTTCAACAGACTTGTGAACATTGATATTGATCAATGTGGTGAGAGGGCAGCTTTGACGATCCAATGCTGGTCGAAAAACTCACCGAAACGATCAATCAATGTATTGATAACTATCAGCATAACTTAACACACTGTGGATTTTTGTTTATTGGACACGGCAAAACAGTTGCATTCAGGATTGTGAGGTTGTCCTCAGAGCTACCTCACCGCTACCATTTTTTCATATTCAACCCACATGGCGTGGACAAGAATAATCGTCGCCCAAGGATTCAATGACAAGCTGTAGCTCGATGCTTTCGATGTCTCAACACAGAAGCACTGATTGGGCTGCTCTTAACGGAACACCCTCGCGAAAGTTAGTGGCAGATTTATGCCATCAACGTCGGAACAGCCGACTGAGACGACCCAAAAAGTAAGAGATCTCATTCTCAGTAGTGATCAACCGATCAAACTTTTCACCGTATAATTATCCGTGGAATAACTGACAGTTCCCTATGAGAATCCCCAGAATACTCATGCCGCATCCAAAATCTTACAACTGAACGGTCAATAATAACATGTAACACTTCTAACCCCCGACCCCACCCCAAACCCTCAACATTATCTGCTAATCCCCCCTCGACTCTATGAAAAAAAAATCCAGTACTCAAAAGACATATTTTCCACAGGCTCGGCGACTCCGATTCTATGAAGAAGCTTTTCGACATCAACTCCTTACGCCACCAAACCGATAGAGAGCGTTTTAATAGCATCATGAACTGCATGAACACCTCCAAAAGCTTCGTGACTGATGCTCTTGAATTCATCATGAAAATGACAACAATCACTCCCATGGAGGCGTCGAAGGAGACTAGGAGTTTCCCGGAATTAAGGGAGGGGGTGAGGAGGATGGAGAAAGATCCTGGTACAGCCGTACTGGAGAGATTATAGTCCTCAGAGTTACCCCCACTCTACCTAATTCCCACTCACATCCTCGTCTCCCTCCTCTGAAAACCAAGACTATAATCTCTCCAGTACGACTATAGGTATTAGGGAGGCTCCATGACTCGATAACTTTATAGAAATCGATTCTGAAAACTTGATTTGCACAAGATTTTCTCAATGATTTAAAATGCGTCAAAAATCCAAGGCTTACTCTAATACATCTTTTTGTTGAAGAAAACAACAGACAAACTCACTTCCCAGACTTTTTCAAAATTGATCAAATATTATTGCGCTCATCAATTCTTGTATGATTTTTTTCACAAATGGCTGGAGTTTGTGTCAATAAATCCATTTTGATGAAATTTTTCTTAGCTGAAATTTGCCCTGAAACATTACACCTATGGAAAAATTCAATCAGTGGTGATTTTTATATATTAATTATTCTTTTGTGATTTTCCTATAAAAAATTTTTGAACATGAATTTTCCTAGTTTTTCCCGCTCTATTTTTTCTTCATTCTCATTACAAAATGCAAGGAGAAGGAATGATAAATTTCATGCTCAAGCATTTTTATAGGAAAAATCGCAACAAAATAACTTGTACATTACAATTATTATCTGATTGAATTTTTAAAAAAAACATTTTTCTGTGTCAATTCTTTTTTCCAAAGTTATTTGCTCCTCAGAATTTTAAAATTCACTTAAAATCTTTCTCAGGGAATGGAGGATGACTTCCCAATCCATCTCTTCACAATATATTGAAAGACAATATTGTAAAAGGGTTCGACGACAAATTCCCTATCAAACCTAGCCCTTCAAACCATTCGAAACCAAATTCATTGGAAAAATCGAGAGCAACTCCAGGAAAATTAATCGAAAAAGAAAAGAATTGAATCACTGAAGTTCGAGAGACTAGAATAAATCATCTGGTAAGGCATCAATTCTCTCAGGATCAGCTGGAGAAATCATTAGGAGGCCCAAAACCCCTGAAGAGGTGAAACGAAACCTTATGGCGACATTGGACATGATCTCCAATGAGCCATCACCTGGAATTATTAAAAATACTGAAGATAATTCGAATTTCATTTCAGATGAAGATCTTTACAATAATTAGGCATGCTTTGGGAATCAGATGAACGGTTATAATTCTGATGGAGATGATTATGGAGCTGCAGCCCCAGCATTTCCTTCTGGTTGTCATGAAGAGGACGAGTGAGAACGATCGAAAAGGCAGGAACGAATGTCTCTGGCTGTTACAAGGGAATCTGAATCCCTGAAATATGTTCTGCATTCTCTTGCTGCTCAAGGAAACCATATGGATGGTTGGTGCGAGGAGGAAGGGGATGTTCTCCAGGAGAAATTGCTGGTGGGAAAGAAGTTGGAGTCTGGGGGAGGGCCCTGTTGAAACCCACACGCATTCCTGAGTTCATTGAAGGGACTGATCTGATTCCCTTCGAGGCGGTTCCATCGTTCAGTCTGGGGGATATTGGGGAGGATAATGATATTCATCTGATGGAAATTCCCAAGTCGATATTGGAACGGGATTTGGGGTTCAGATGAACTCGTAAAGAAGAAGGACCAGTCTAAGAAAGTCTGCAAATTGTTCCACTAACAAGAATTCTTCATTGATATTCAGAATAATTTGTATTATTATCTTCAATAAATATAAAATTACTCCAAATCTGCAGTTTTTTTCCATATAGAGTTTTACAGTGGCATGCATAGCAAATTGTAACACATTTCCCTCGAATATAAAAATCTCATCATTCCCGATTGCATACATATTTCTGTACAGCGGGTTATCATGCTCGGGATTAATATTCCTAGGCTACTCGAATAATGGCTGAAATAGAAGCGGAGAATGTTTGGATTTACAAATTATATATAGTGAGGGAGAGATTATGAATAAATTTCGGTCAATACTGGACTAATGACCTGGGCATCTAGTGATTTTTCTGCTCCAGTGGAAAGGGGCTATTCCATGATTTTTTTTTAATGATGAAATCCGCATATTGGATGAAAAATAATTAGATACGTACTTTCTTATTTTGGAAAAAAAACGTTTTCAATCGCCTATAAATTTTTTATTTCTCATTATTTCCAAAATAAAAAAATGCGTATCTAATATTTTTCATTCAATTTTCATATCCAACAATAAAAAAATTCATGAAATACACCCATTTACCTCATTCGCTGCAATTTTTTTCAAATTTTTCTCATCCGATTGAATTAACAAATTTTGAGATTGAACATAGCTGAATCTATAGTGTGGTCAGTATCAAACTATAATAGATACTTGGATATTGTACAAGCACTTGTTTAGAACGAAAGATTGTCGAAGACTTGGGATAATTCATATTTGAAATAGAAAAGTACCTGCATAGTAATCTGAACATCACCTTAGATACGCATGCGTGAATTGCGGGGTGGGGGAGGGCGGCGGAGTGGGGGAAAATGACTTCGTGGATTCCCGAAGACTAATATATCTCCAGTACGACTGTACATAGACACTGGCGCGATACAAGACCAGCACATAAATAAATAAAGAAACCAAAGTAAGAAAAAGAACTACAAATCGACTCTCGCTTTACTGGTAAAATGACTTCTCATCTGAACGTGGAAAATTCACCGTTGAACGGTCGAATAAAAATAATACGTTACAGTGTATAGAGACACAAAAATAACTCGTGGTTGTGGAATATAAAGGCGTTGTGTTTATCGGAGAGAGATGTATTTACATCGAATATATAAATCGGACTGAATTTGACTGAACTGACTGACTGAGCTATTTGTCGGGGAGCGTGCGAGTTTAAATACCTTCCGTTATGGAAGGTTCGAGAACCGTCCCGAAATTTCGTGAGGGACAAGGATAGGTTGATGTTTGTCTCGAACGCAAATGTGTAGAATGTTCGAGACGCGTTAAATCCAAACCACAAATATTAATTTGTTGTGGCTCGCACCACCGATGTCTTTTGTGGACTACGTTTTCTGTCATCTCTGAGTAAAAGATCGCTACATCATAACGTTGTACCAATTCATAAACAATTTTTCATGCGTATAGTCATTGAATTTATAATAATCGATAGACTCACCTGAAAGCGGTGAAGAGAAAGATAATTGGTCCAATAACAAGTAAGGAGATTAGAATGCAGATCCAAACCGTTGTATCAAATGGTGCGAGAAGTCCTGACCCAGATGCAGATTCCGCGGGCCTCACCATCATTCCTACAATGTTCGCCTCATCCATAATGGGACTGTACCGAGTGAATTCCGTAAATTTCCATAGCATTGGAATGAATGCAACCGCTACATCGATCTCCTGTTTTACAATCAAAAAAATTATAGAATGAAATACACCATACATTTTTCATCATGAATCAAGAAATTATCCTGATAATGAGCCAGGACAGAATAATAGTCGTAGAAAGGGCTTCATTCTATTAGGCCCGCTAAACGACAATTCGAATCAGGGCCGGGTTATTCAGACTTCTTCAGCGTGTAAGTAGCATCAACACGTATAACTGTCGATTAACTATCTGTTAAGTTAACCGTGGGCTGATCACCGGTGCTTGATTGATTGATTAATTGAATGATTGTGTTGATTTTGCCGAAAATGTCTCAAATATCAAAGACATGGAGAAATTTTTTAATAATTTCTTTCCATACAGTAAAGTGAGATGCGCAAAAAATATTTTTTCATTAACCCGGTTAGCAATTGAAAATGTCTAGCTATCCCCCCTCCTCACACCCCTCAGAATTTCAGGGGAAGACATCGAGATACGCGGCAGCATATCGCCCAAGAAAAGTTTTGACACCGACTAGACAAAACATCTGGCCGGGCGCACCGCGAATCTATATACGAGAGAACTTCCCCCTCTACGATCTCTAAATGATCGACATTCATTATAGTAAAAACAGGACGACAAATCGGAAAATTGTCCTTAGTTATATTATATAAAACGCCTATGAGCTTTTCAATGGTGTAATTATTGTATTTTTTGAGTTAACAGTAAAAAAAGAATATCAGCCCGTTGCAGGCATAGCAACGGGCTGATATTCACATTCTCGCGATTCACATTATAAAGTCGGAGAATCAAGTTACAATGTTGGCAGCGCCTGTCCAATTGAGTCTCACATCCAACGTCGAAGTGTTGCCACCAGTGTATTTAAATGTGGATTGTGATGTTCTGGAGAATCATGGTACACGTTTTATTCTCACTTCAGATTAGATATTAGAGTAAAACCAAAAATTAATTCAGTGTTCTACTTGTGGGATTCGGTGAAGGATAGAAGGGTTTTGTAAGTTATAACACTCGGAATTAGCGTATATATCGGATTGAATTTATTCACAGTGAAAGTAACTTTGGTTTACAACATGAGAGCTGGAACGAGAGTGAGCTCCCGCGATAACGGTATTAGATCATCCGATCGAGGATATCCGAATTATTACGAATCGTCGCGAGGATGTCTTGCAACAAGGACAGCGATATATCGGCGACACGTGTCACTGTACGAAATTCGGTTGCTAAGCCGAGCTCGAAAACAATACATCGAAATGGTGTGAAATAAATATAAAAGTACCTTCGCTACAATACTCCCTTTCTGCGGCGAAAAAGAAAAGGACAACTATATACAATATTTACAAGAGTATGCGCGTTAAACGGCACTGAAAAATGGTATACGTGGCTGTAAATAAGAATGAATTTTAGTATCGAATGAATTTGTTGCGTTTTTTTCGATGATAATGGAATTGAGTCCAACGATGATTTTGCGTCAGTCGATGAAGCCCAAGATGCTGATGTGTGTCCAGGCGTTTCTGATTCTGATGATGTTGATGATGAGAAGCCGGTGAACTGGCTCTCGTGGGCTCGACAAAGTGTTAGCGGAGGGGCATCAGTGAGTCGACATATTGTCTCACGCTACCATCGGAGAAGATGAACGGCAGAGGTGACTTTCCTCTCTCCCTCGTCGTGAGATGAGGTGCGTTGCTGCGTCTTAGATAGGAACGCTGACGAGCACTATGCCAAAACCCAACGGTTCTCGAACATTCCACGAAAGATCACGTGACCGAAAATCACTTTAATTTTAACGGAAAACGGCACAATTTTTATGATTGTACTCGCTAACGCATTAATGCGACGATTTTATTTGTCACGTTGCAGAAATCACGTCGGGGTCACCACTTGTGGGATTCGATGAATGATAGAAGGGTTTTGTAAGTTATAACTCTCGGAATTAGCGTATAAATGGGAGAAAATAGACTTTACTCAGTGGAGGATTTGATCGACGTCTCCAGGTCGTTGTAAGGAACACGAGGGATGACGGTAGACTCCCCGGAGTGGTTAAACAGGATTCCAGGTAACATGTGGTTTTTTATCCATTCTTGAAATCCTGGCTCCCCCCCCTTTCCCTTGAACATTCGAGTATGTGTAAGAAATCGTGAGAGAGAGAGAGAGAGAGA